AAAAAAATCTATACAACTATAAGAACTGGTTCAGTTTTATTGCACGCGTCGCGTATTCGAATCACATCAAAATCATTGGCAGTCGGTGATTATATACGTGTAAATAATAACATGATTAATGATAATGATATATTGATGTTTTACATCACGTGCCCGCAAACCTGTCCGACACCGGCGAGCGACGACCGACGTGCACACGCACGGCAACACGCGCAACAGTAAAATAAAAATAATAATATGAACGATATATTATTTTACTGTACTTATATTGTAGTTGTATCGTAGTTATACAGACGCCACACGTGCGAGTATGTTATTTATATAATGTATTACTAGTTAATACCACTGCACAAGAGCAACGCGCCTTTTTCGGATGAATCCGTATTGTCTATATTATTACACAGGAATGATACTGCGGCACAGCGCGTGCCATGGCGCCGCCGCTGCAAATTTCTCGAGAACACGCGTCATTCAATCCTTAGTATAGTAGCATCTAATATATGTACCTATGAACATTTATTATTATATTGCGACCGCGTCGTATCCGTATAAGTATGATATAACAACAATTTATCGTATTGTACTTTAAACGTTTATTATATATTTATATTGTATAAGATAATAATATATATGAACTAGAGACAATGAACGTGGTGATGGTAATTTGTAATCCCGAACACGCGTTTGCGTGCTATCATATACCTGCTATGTGGATCTGAAACGCGTTTGTTGCTATTTTTCACGATATTAATTACTGAGTGAAGTGATTAATGTATCGGTTAAACAATGACGTACATTGCGTTAAATTTTCATGTATGAAAAAGTTCTTTAGAACTATTTGTATGACCTAAGTTCATCCCAGAAAAAATGAATAAATATACAATACAGCGATAATAATAATCAGTGTGTTTCGGTTCACAGGCAAATCGGCAGCATTGATGGTATATTGGTATATTAAACTAATTTTAATGATATGAGCAATCCGCTTTAGGCGTATTGAAAATAGCACTGGGTATATTTTCAAACATGGTTCAAACTATACACTTTAAACCTTCCTGATATCTCGCGGAACAATTTCTGAAATTGTCGTAGAAGTTATATGTTATATATATAGTATGATTGAATTATGATAATAAGGTTTTAAAAATATACTCGTGTTTGTGTATTTGTATTTATTTTTTTTTTATGAAAAATATGATTTTAATAAGAATGATAAAATTGTTTGAATTCAGTTTGTACTTATATAATAATATTTGTCTATCAATATCATTCATTGTTATGGCAATTTATTAATTTATTTTTTTTTTTTTTTTTTTTTTTATAAGCCAAATTATTTTGCCATTATTATTGTTAACAATGAATTACAAAATTCCATACACAACCATATTTTTATACGTTATCAAAAAATTATCTACATAATAAAAAATTCACAGTAGTTTCTGAGATTATACTATAGAATTTATATAAAAAAGGCATTTTGTTTTTTATAATATGTTATCGTAAGAGTAATCAGACTCTTATAAAGCTAATTAATGCTAAAATTGTACAGATTGATGTTTTTACACATTATACAGTAAATACTGCAAAAAATCAATTTTTCTTTTGGTATTATCTATTTATTACACTATGAACTATTTTTACTGGTTTACGGTATTTACAAAACGATGTAATTAAACTTTAAGTAATATAAGTTAATTCTAATCAATAAACCTTTGTATCCTCACTAACGCCCCGCATCTTCATGGTATATCATCAATAGAACCCTACATCGTGATCTCTACTTCCAACGATATCAGCACTTTCATCATTTAATAAAATTATAATAAATACCACAAAAACATCTTAAATCACTCTAATCCTTCTCAGTTCTCATCAACAACTTAGCACAGGGATCTCCAAACTTTTTTTATCCAAGGGCCACATAAAATAAAAAAGCTCTTAGTGGACCAAAATTTATGAACATATATAACTTTCACTTATAATTTATAAACTGCATTTTGTAAATTATGGTACAGCCGATATAACTGATAATTGCACGTGTGCGCAATAACGACTTTGGAAACTAAACATATTTTTAGATTATTTGCCGTCATTAGGCGGGCCAATGAAAACAAAACTTATTCGCAGGCTGTAGTTTGGAGATCTCTGAGTCCTAGCATCTACCACACTAATGAAAATGACCACGTGACTTTATCACTAATACAAACTAAATTGAGTTCGTATTAAAAGTAGTGTCAATGAACACTTTTTTGATTTTTCCCTCAAGTTATTCAGCTTAATTAAAAAATGTCAACCCATTATCCAATCACTTACTTATTGTATTATATTTGTATACAAATCGTAAATTTTTCTAGATATTTCGTGATATTCTAGATAATCTGAACAGCTGACTTTTGTCTTTTGGTGATCATATCGATCATATCATATATGATGCGTCGATGCGTTTTACTCAGGAGACCAATTTCAACAGTAACCTGCTTAATATCTTAGTGGTTCATGGTCACAACGTATAGAAGTTAAAGAACCTGGTACCTTTTCTACAAGTCATCGTCATTTTTTGTCAATGATTCCGGATAATATTTTATTTTATTTTTTTGATAACGACAAAATGATGATCACATAATCATGATAAAAAAATAATGACAGTAATCTACGGGCATCCATCATAGACCTTATAGTTATGGCTTATACTCAACTACTCTACTCAAGTATGTGGCATCCACAAACTTCTGTACTTGTTATTTAATTAAACAAAAAAAGACAATGTCCTTATATTTGTAACTTATAGACTCAAAAACTAATATATTTCCTAAATATTAACTACCTATATTTTAAATACTGTTGTTATCATTTTAATTAAGGCAAAAAATTCACCAAAAAAACAACTTAAAGTCACGCTATTAATATAATATTAATTATGCGTTAGAATATTAATGCTACAACGATGAAACACAGTTTTTTTTATAACAAATAACTTGTATAGATTTTGATAAAATATTATGTCAGCTAAAAAATAAAAAATATATTAAAATATCTCACCATAAATAACTACAGATCTACGTATTCGGGATTATTATTAACCAGTAAAAAAGTGTAAGAATCATAATTCGAAATTTGAAATATAGCTTATAGGTATAATGTATCTAAAAATAAACTGACCCCATATTTTGAATAATGTTATAACTTATAACGAACTTTGTTAGTTTTCGTGGATATATTTGCTTGAATGTTTACTTGTATGTTCGATTACAAATTTTGAATTACGAGTAGTTTAATAAATTCTATATACTTTCTAGTACAACTATTTATCATACTTCTATATTTTCATATGGACATTTTTATCACATGATAAATGATAATATATTTATACAAAAATTGTCTTATACTCTTATATATTCAATAATTTTCTAACTAAGTCAACTTCGTAAGAATAAAAAATAAATTGAAGATATTAGAAAACAAAATAATGGCATTACGCCAAAACGATCAAGTAGTCAAGAACGGCAGACGGAGATTCTTAACCGAACGTCCAGGTTAAGAAACAGAGACTGCCCGCTATTATCAGCAAAGTTAAGAAAGTTTGAAAAAATGTACTCTGATATTATGACAGAATACACAACAGAAGACGACAAATACACGGGGACGACACGGAACTCGCAGGAAGGCAAAACACTGTGCAATCTCTCAGCTCCGCGGCAAACACCAGTTGACATCATTGCAGACTTCGTCACGTTTTGAGGTGTTGGACGTGGTAACCAACGAGTTATTGGTGGCAGCCACTCGGAGGTCGAACAATTCACCACCTGTTTCGCTATTTCCAAATGACGATTAGTCGTTGTCAGGATCTTTCGACAGGAGTATGGAATCGTCAGAAATACGCAAACTAGAACAACTACCGGAAAAACTGTTCAAAAAAATCTTGTGAGAAATTAGTAGGTAATGCCAGTTTGGAGAGTGGAAAGCACTTACCGCCGATACCATTATGTCTGCGAGGAAATGCATCAAGCCGTAAGATAGGAGAATCCTTGCTATCTACCGCAAGTCCGCAAAGATGACCGCTGAGCTCGCTGAGGATATCGAGAAGATATCCAGTTTCCAGTTTCCAGTTCCAGTTTCCAGAACTAGTTTCTGGTCATTTGAAAGACGTGTAGGGACAGGAGTTGTCCTGTGCGCGAGTTGTATTGTATGTCGTCATGTCGAAATGGTTCTACGTAACGGTGTTGAAAATGACGGTAACGGGTCGGATAAAACCACTGCGGAAGAAATAAAATCAGTGCCAATAGCAGAACACTCGCAATCTAAACGTTGTAGGCCGTTCCTATCGGCATTGAGAAAGTGACTTCTTAAGGTCTGTAAAAGTTTGTGCTGCTGGCGTTGCAAATAACGATGGTAGTATAGAGACGTGGTGAAGCCGATTGACTGTGCAATACAACGAGTAAGGTCGTTCCAAAAATCGTTGACCTGCAGTAGGTACTGAGGTTTGTATACCACAAGTCATTGATGACCTGTAATCAAGGCAGTTACTCAGTGTTTGATATCATAATGCACTTATGCACTTAATGGTTGCAGAATTTATTATTAATGAATTTGTATTTAAAAAAATAATTTATGATATTATATATAGATATATCGTACCTATATATTATCAAGTTATGTTTTCTTTATAAAAATTAAAATATATAGGTAGTGTGCTATGTATGTGTAGGGTATAGGTGAGGGGTGTTTGAAAAGAAGATAGCAACTAGTCAGCAGCATCGATTTGGTTTGTATTGACATGAATTATTAAAACGCAATTTAAAATATATCATAAATCGTAAAAATTACTTTTAAAATAAATTCGCGCATTTTTGTGTCGTATACCAACGTACAAAAATAATTTTATTGTACAAAAGTGCACAACTACAACAAAATCATATGTTGATATTCTGATAAGAATATTAACATATTATTTTTTAAGTTGGTTCACTTCACATCTAAGTACAGTTCATTCTGTTCAGTGTTCAGTAGTCATAGTTTGATACTCTATTGATTGAAATTTTTTGTAATCTTCGATCTTAATAAATTTAAAATTTTATATTTATTTTTGTTAAAAAAAAATAATATTTTGTTTTACAAATTAACAGTTTTTGTGGATTTCGCTTATTGTTGATTCTATACATTATAATGGCAAGTGATGAGATACCGTTCGTTAAAGCAATTGCAAATTACAGACCACCTCCATTGAATAAAGATACTGCATTAAATTACTACGCCCCTGCATTTGGCACTTTAAACTATACATTTTTATCTATTAATGTGATGAACCCTGGACTTTTGCAAAGGTAATTGGTCAATCTTTAAAATTTATCACATTATCTAACTTCTTGTTGATATACTGTTTATGTTAATAGAGCTCTACCTAAACCAGACCTTACAAATATGTTTTTATTCAACTCTTGTTTTGGATCATTTTTATTTATTGCTGGACGCCCACATCTCAGCGAAGCGCCTTTCAAATTACGCGTAGCATATAGGTAAAAATTATTCAATAAGCCCAAACATTAATAAGTTATTGTACATTTTTTAGAATAATAAATATTTTTTGTATTTTTAGCGTGTATGGATCAATTTTGTTCAACATGGGATCAGTTTTATCATGGGCTATTTTACGTAGTTTATTGCCAAATAACTCTGGTTTGGCTACTGTTGCTGGTTTAATTTCAGGATTCGCATTGACCAGCTGTGGTGTTGCATACTTGAGTTACAATGATAAAGTCGTTAAAGCAAATAAAAAATAGAAATTAGTTTTTATGGTGATCACTTAGTTTAAATAACCTCCTAAGTTCTTTGTAGAAATTTAATTCCAATTTCATATAGAGGGCTGATTTTTTTTTTTTATGTGTATCAATATTTTGTTATTATTTCTGTTTTATTTTTTGTTTTTTTAGCTGGTAATACCAAAATTATGATAAGAAATAATCACATTTTATAATATTCATATTATTCAAAATTAAATAAATTAATTCTTTGTGTATGAATTTTGATCTTTTTGTGTATATATATATATATATATATATATATATACAGTGTACGCATATTTACATGCATAAATAATGATTTGTAATTTAAAATAATCTAAAACTCATTATATAATTGTCTGATATAATAATAATAATCATTTATAATTTATACTTAGTATAACTTTTAAGTTTATTATTATTTATTATCTTAAGTAGATCAAAAATATTATGACGTTTCTTACACTTTATATAATAAATACATTTTTTTCATACCATTTCTAATTCTGAAGTTCAATACTTAACATAATTTTGTACCTGGTAATTTTCTTTTTATAAAAATTTAAGTGAATTAAATAAATTTATATTAAGATTATGCATAACGAATAATTATTTGATAACTATTGAGTTAAAATAATTAAATATACAATTTAGTGTTTTTCAATTTTTTATCACTTATAATACATATATTAAAATATACAAATTGCTTTATTGTTATTATATAAAACTATTTTCATAATTTATTATGATTAAATAAAAATTAACTAAAACTTTAAAATGTTGATAACAATTTGGTAATAAATTTTATTTTATTTTAACAAACAGATAATAATATAAATATATTAAAGTCAGTTTTTTTCATGAATTTTCAACTTGTACAAGACTTGAATCTACAAGGAAATTATTAAATGTTAATAAAATATATAATATACATAATCTAGACTTTAGAATAAAATATACACTTAATGGCCCTCTCATTATTTTGATTACTTTTTTCAGAAGTGATTTAATTTTTTTACCAACAATCAAATAAATTATGGTTATTTAAAGTTTTTTATTTTTAATTGCAATATAGCTTCAATAGTTACTTAAGTTTTTGGTTTTTTAATAATTTTGAGTACATTATTTAAAATTTATTTGGCAACTAAAAATTTCAAATTTGATATCAATATATGAATTGGTTTTACAATTATGAGTGTTTTCTATCAATTAGATCAAATTTACAACTAGAAACCATGAACCAAATTATTCATTCATTCATATTCATCAAAATTGAATAATTTTTTCGCTTTTAAAAGTGACGTTAACAGACAGGTAAAAAAACTTCATTGTACTATCTATTCATCTTTTTATTTAGTATCTATTAGTAAATAGATTAAACAACTAGTAAATTATACTATAATCAGAATATTTAAATCACTCATATTTTTAAAATAGATCTATATATACTTATAAATTATAAATATATTTGTTTATGTATAAATAATAAATATGTGCACAAATATCTGTATAATCTTTACCATAGTATTAAAGCATTCAAATCCACTTAAAACATTGTAAATATTTAAAAAAAATATCTAAATAAACTCTATAAGAAACATAATATAAACAAAAACCTTGAAATTCCAAGATCACATTAAAAATTTGAATGAAAGTTTTAAGTCTATTTACAAGTCAACACTCAATATGTTCAATCTACTATCATCTCAATTCTCAACCCAAGATCACCACTACAATGTTCCATGAAACGAGAATTTATGACTTAATTATTAGAACTCCAATACATAAATACATATAATTATAGGTATAGAGGAGCAGATGCTATATATACTTAATGCACTGAACTTTAATTCAGGTGGTTATGATCACCTAATATTGAGTTTAATGGACCTTAGTACATTTTACCTCATTAGAATTATATTTTCACAAATGATACTCAATGGTCTCAATGATCTATATTGTACAAATAATTAAAAATATTTTTTTAATATTTTTAGAAATTTTATAAAATTGTTATTACCTCATCAAAATGTTTTCTATGCCAATAATTTTAGCATAGAATTTGGGTGATAAATCAGAAGCTCTATTTTTCAAATAAATTATTAGAAAATGGGACAAATTATTCACATGCTGACTCTGAAATTCAGAATTACCCATGCCCATGACACATAAATCTTATATATTTATAATGAATATTTTTTCCGACATAACTGCTATATAAATCCACCCTGCACCACTAAACCTACTCCACTGGGAGTTATGTCCACACAAGTTAAAATTTTTTTTCTTAAAAAAGGGAATATCAGTGTACTGGATATATTCTACCCTTTCCAAGTGAAAATACTTAAAATATTAATAAAAATTGATAAGGTCATTTCAATGAAACCAATATAAAAAATTATTACTAAACTGTATACTACAGAGTACAGACTATATGAAATAGACTGTACTTAAATTATTATTGCTATAAATTATTGAACTAACCTTAACACATACAATTAATATTTATATATGTATTATTTTTATCTACAATATTATATTACTTATTATGTTCAAATAATAGTTTATGGGCTAAGAATGTCTTATTTTATTACCTAGGTACTACAAAAAAAAAAAACTCATACCTATTAAAGTAGATACTGTAAAATACATTTTAAATGAACTTAATTCCTTCAATAACATAGCAAAAAAAAAAAAAAAAAATGTATGCACATCAGTAGATTATTACATTCACTATAAAAATTTAATAAGTACATTGAATACAGGACTCATAAATATGATTCATTGAATAATTATTACAATCCTGACTGAATATTACATACAAGAGTCAAGTATCAAAACATGTATTATATTATCAAAATACTACTTAGGTAGTAGTTTATATAATACTTTTCAATCCTGAATAGTATAACAGTTAATTGTTTAAAATAGGTAATGTTTAAGTATAAACAACTTAACATAAAATTGGAAACAAAGTCAATTTTGATCAGTCTGGAGATGTAGTGCCAAGTACGAATCGTCAGTCAATTAACAAATAAATAAATGAGTCGTAGAGTGTATAAACTCGTATCTTATAGTGACTACCAAATAAAGCAAAGGGTAAACTGTTCGACATAAGTCAAAATTCAAAATATCATGGAGAAAATTTAATGCAATTGATTCACAAGTTAGAACCATTTTTTTAGCTTTGGATTTTGTGAGAGAAATAGGTTTACTTATAAACTGTGTGATTATACTTTGTCTAGGTAGATTCAATCGTGATGGCTCTACTGCAGCTTCTGAAACTATTCTCGATGAACCTATACTCACAGAGACACTTGTAGATGCTGGCATGTTGGTTGGGTCATCAATTTTCTCATCATTTTCCAATGAATTTATTTGATTAACTAGTAGTCTAGTTAGTGGCATGGTTACATGCTTAGTTTTAAGATGTCACATAAGGTTGCTCGTTAACCACCACTATAACTAACATTGTGTCCTCAATAAGAAAATTTAGCAATGATATGAGATTTGATGGTAAAATGATTCCATATTGGGCTTCTTTTATGTTTTAAATTTGGTATCTATAATTGTTTTTATATTAAATAATTCTGTTTTAATTGTTGTACACATTTTTAAAATTCAAATAATACTTTAACATTGTGAATTATGACTTATAATATTAAATATATGTTAAAATTTTATGGAGATTTTTAGTTTTTACTACCCTTATAGCAATTACTAAAATTATTGAATAGCACTTCTAATTTGATTTAAATTATAAGAGATGTATGTAGTATGTACCTATATAAATTATTAAAATTAATGTTTTTATCTTTTTAATAATAATTTAAATTTGTTTATTAAAAACATATTTTAAGATTTTCTTTGATAAATTTGAAAAAATGAAAGTATAATATTAAAACATAAACATAAGTCACAAATCCCAATAATACAATATTACTACAAAATTTTACCTTGATAAATACAACTTTATAAAATTATTCAAAAGAATGATGCCAACGACACAAGTTGTTCAAAAAGAGAAAAAAATTTAAAAGTAATATTTTAGGACTTTCTTGGAAGGCTAAAATACCAATGCCAAGTTGTTCAAGTAATGAAATGTGATATGTAATAAAACAGTTGTTTTATAATTCATGAACTTGAAAGTTAAAACAAAAATTACCATATTATAGACAGGATTAGACATGTTAGTTTGTTGTAATAATTTTTGAATATTATTGTGTTTGGTGGGTGGAGAGTGTTGAGAAATGAAGACTTAAATAATGTCTTGAACCTTATAGAGTATACATTTATTTTCTGATTATTTGTGGAATAATATATCATTTTTCCACAAACTCAAATTATCTAATTTTGTTTAAATATTTGAGTTCTTATCTACAGTTCACAAGTATAGGATATTATTATAGGATTTTTTGAAATAATTACAATAAATCCATTGTTTTAATATTGTTTATTGAAGAAATTACTATTTTTTTAAATATATTTATATCTTAATTAAAATGTTTATAATGTGAGACAATAATAATTATTATTTAACGAAAAATATGTCATCAAAATTATTTAATTGCAAGAAAAAAAATTCTTAATATTAATGTAGAAGCCACAATTTTGCGTAATTTTGCTATGTTGCATTATTTCTGTATAGTTTATGACATTGATGTTGACAAGACTGGCAATATATTTATAATTTACAGTAATATTTACAAGTATGTATATGTCTGCGTGTTCAACACTCTCTTAAAATTTTAGATTTAAAACGTGGTATTTAATATAATAGTATTAACTAATTTATTTCTAAATCTTAAATATAATCATCGCATGGAATATTGATTCAAAATTTCAAAATTTATTCATTTGTAATTTCATTATCAATATATATGATAAATAAATGAACTTCAACTCAGTTTAATTGGTGAATCAAATGAATCAAATATCAATGAACGAGTCATCTGAATGAATCAAATGATTCGATTCATTTTTCTCATCTCCAGTACTTACATATCCGTTATT